TTACCATATTATCGCAGACGATGCTGTATCGCACACCCCAGACTCGACTTGAGTGGAAAATGAATCATCCGCTGTTGTGCGTATGCTTGTTTACGCACATGAGCAAAGGTGTTTTTAGGAGTCTGACTTGCAGACGGCAGACCACTGATTCGTCAAACCTGCTTTCGCGGACACAAGCTGATGATAGAGACGGGCAGACACAGAAAAACACAGCTGCCACCGGAGCAGAGACTGTGTTCACACTGTGATCTGAATCAGATGGAAACAGAACTGCACTTCCTAACAGAATACACGGATATACAGAGAGTGTTCTATGATAAAACACAGCAGATCCATCAGACATTTAAAACTCTTTTAAACCAGGAGAAACTGCTGTATCTGTTAGGAGAACACAAGAACTGCTGTGTGTTTGCTGCTCAATATGTGTCTGCCTGTCACGATAGAAGAGAAAACATTCAATCTGCCCTGATCTGATGTTTCCAGCACATGTAGATTATATTATGCCATATTACTGTATTATATTATTTAGATGTATATTTTGCTTCTGTAAATCTGTCTAATCCCTTGTCCTATTTTATTTTTAGTTTACATATATATTAGTCATTCATTTTGCACTACATGCTTAATAGTTTTGATATATTATTATTATTATTATTATTTTTCTTTCTGTTAATACATATGTGTACTATTTGTAAGCAGCCCAGCTGCAATTGCTTTGGCAATACAAAGTAGTTTTTGTCATGCCAATAAAGCACACTTAAATTGAAAAAAAAAATTGAAATTGAGAGACCTTCTTCATATTAAGTATATAATTATTTTATTACTATTCCTTCCTAAATGTTACATTCAAGATAATATGCATTTTTATGTATTGTAACCCTCTTAGAACGTTTTGTTGATTGACTTTAACTCTGGTGGTTGCCTACTCTACCCCATAGCGATAGATGGCGTTATCGATCAATTATAGTGAAACAACAGATACATGAGAGAATGACCCACTGTTACAGAAAACAGCTGCCTTACCATCATAATAATATGAATCTGATCTGACCTTGTAGTTAAACAGTCATGGCGAGCTTGATTTTTTTAAGCACTTTCTGCCAAAGAGGAATAAGACGTAAGTAATCATTTTAGTGTTTTATCCGGATGACTGAATGAATATGAGAGTTATGATATTACACAATATGGCACAGACACGCTGTTCATTGGCATGTCGGCACAGATTTATTTATAATCATTACATAAATGTTAGCCACTGAACATTTGTATGACGTCTTACGATATTTGTACGATGTAGTGTTTTTGGTTACACTTTATTTTAAGGTGTCCTTGTCTAGTGTAATTATACATTTAAATACTGAGAAATATTAAAGTTAATATTTCTGTATTTATGTAGGTCTACATGTACTTACTATATGGTAAGGGTTAGGATTAGGGTTTGGCTTAGGGTTACTTATATGTAATATAACATAATTTATTGTTATTACAATAGTAAGTACATGCAATGTGTAAAAAGGAGGACACCTTAAAATAAAGTGTTACCGTGTTTTTTTATGTAATATTTTATACCATGTACAGCTGTGCTTCTCTGCCACACACACCTGTCTCGTGGGTTGGTTGCCTATCAGAAGAATCGAGATATAGAGCCTTTCCATTTGGCAGCAGGGAGGATCCACACAACTTCAGCACACTGCAGTGAGCGATGACACTAATCATTGTTAAAAATGTATTTAGACTTTTTCCATGATCATTCTCTTCTCCGTTTATAATGCTGCAAAAGCGGTGCTACATTAACAATGAACTGTTGTTGAAACATTGCCCATTCAGACATGATTTTAATACATTTTAACACATTTACATTGAACCAAAGGAGATTTTAGACAATTTAGAACTCAGTTTTACTATTTAAATAATCAAAAATGAAGTGTCTGTTTGCAGGCAACATCAGTAGTCAGTGACAATCGACAATCGAATTTCCTGTTTTGCAAAAACACTGTTTCATAAACTCTCTTACTTTGCATACACAACGGTCGTTAGCAAAATGAAAATTTCTATTTGTTTTTTAGCAGTCTCAAGTTCAAGAGCAGCCTCCAAGCACTGGACTGGTGAACGGGTATTGAGTATAGTTCTGTTAGGTATGGCTCCAGCTGCATACCTGTGTCCCAGTCCGCTACTGGATTACTCTATTGCTGCGGCTCTCACACTGCACGGACACTGGTAAGAGTGTGTGTATCTGTCACTCGTGTACATCTGAAGAGCCCTGCTTAATGCTTGGTGTATAGGTTGTTTTATTGAAAGTGGATTTTAGATGCCTCAATCATCAGTGAGGTTATGCAATATTTCAGTTGTCCCACAAGCACTATTTGTATTTTATATTTAGTTCAATCTTTTATTTCTGTGTTTTTCTTCTTCTGCAGGGGGATTGGTCAAGTCCTAACAGACTATGTCCACGGTGATGCTAAGGTCAAGCTGGCTAAAGCTGGTGTCTTGTTGCTCTCCACAGCCACATTCTTTGGTCTCTGCTATTTCAATTATCATGATGTTGGTCTCTGCAAGGCAGTCACCATGCTCTGGCAAATATGATTATATGGCCAGAATTAAACTGACTGGTTTGAAGGATTAATCACCATTTTAGGTACTTGAGGTAGTTTTAAAAGGTACCTATCTTCAACTTAACAAATGACAACATACCGTCTCCTAACATATGTTACATGTTTGAATAATATTTGTCATAGTGATATTTCACACAAACTTTTGAATCGTTGGCTAAATGAAGAGCAATGTCTGTTGATGACCTGTAGGCTATTTACTGGGCATTCCAGACGACCACCATGGTTGTTAATAATTAGCTTTTTCCTTATTAGTACTGTATATGAGAACAAGGGAGGTCTCTATGTGTAAGAGACTATGTTCAGGAACTATGTTAATATTTATTATTTCAGCAGCTACAGTCAATGTCCAGCAGAGGTCAGTGCTTTTCAGTTTTATTGGGAATGCTTGATCATATTCACAATGTCTGCAGGTCACATCTGTGTTTACAATATGCTTTAAAGCCAACAAATTTACTTGAATACACTTGCGTATTTGTTTTATTTGAAGCATGATAATGTTATCTTCTTAATAATATTAAGATGCTACAGTGAATAACCTGCTGAGATTTTTTGTGGTTCTCTAATAGCTTTCTACGTTGATGTATAGTTATAGTTTACTAACCACAAATGAAAATAAATCATGTAATTTGTTATGATACTAAACCGTTGGACTGTCTTATACTCTATATTAGTACTAGTGGGAATCAGCAAAGATTTGCCAGTGCAGTCATATGATATAATAAAAATTCAAATAGATATTATTGGAGTTTGATATTTGTTCAGCATTTTTTACTTGGCACCAGCAACTGAGGATTTAATATGGAACCATTCATAGATTGCAAGTTTCACAAGAAGTCTGTTTTGTATGTTTGATTTGAATGTGGATGGGCACCTCTCTGAAACACCAGTGAGACCTTGATCTCTTCACAGAATTCAAATAAAGGCTAAATAATGATTCCAGACTGTTGTGGACACATTATTCAAATTTCTAGTCAAAGTTCTCTAGTTATTTTGAACACATTTAACAAGGAACCACATATAAATCTGTGAAACACTGGTTAAGGTGTAATTTTAATTTTACTGGCTTTGATTCTCCACTGCATAGATAAACATTTTTTGGTAATGTTGTAATTTATGTAAGTTATGCCATGATCCAAACATAGCATGCTGCCTGTAGGAGTTTTCTTATTTATTAAAAAAAAAGAACAAAAATGAAGCCAAAGAACTTTTGGTGTTGCTTATATATTATAAAAACAAAATCAACATTTTTCAGTTTATTATTCATTATCAATCGCCATTTACACTGAATGTAATAAAATCAGGATCATTCTTGACTAATTTTCTGTATTTAACTATTATTTTTATTATTATTGATGATGATGATATAATCCTTTCCCGCAAAAAAAATTCTTAAGGTGACTTAATTATACTATATATAGTATATAATATAATACTTAGGTGCACCTTCCTGATATTGCAAACTATGAAGGCAAGCAGATGTGGCCAGAATATGAATGCAACGCGCTAAAATGCAAGCGTTAAGTGTTTTATATGGAAGAAAAACGCTTAACGTGAAAGTTTGCGCGTCGCGTGATATTCTGGCCACACCTTTTTGTCTGTACATAACTTAGTTCAATCAATGTATTAAGAAACTACACCCAATTTGGTCTTTTAATGTCACTTTCTTAATACATTAAGCCACGTTAAGCGTTTTATTTAGGTATAACGGTTTCTGAGGAAAACGCTTAACATGAAACTTGCGTGCGTTCCATTCATATTTTGGGCTCATTTGGGCTTATAAAGGTATATAGATATATTATAGATAGAGACATATATCTTTTCATTACGAACTATGGACTTAATAAGAATGTTGTGCATAGAAACACTTTAAAGTCACTCAAAACAATGAATCGGTTGAGTGTATACGAAGACAGTAGGACAAAGAATGCCGTTAAGCCATAACCAGGAAGTTTATTAGGGGTAAAGTGTACGTAACGTGGGTCACAGTAGCCTACTCCGCGCGAGTGTAGAATTTAACCTACTGTATTCTCTTGTATATTACTTGTTTTAGTTAATCACGTCAACAAGTGTGCTTAAAAATGCATTTAGGACCAGCAAAGGTAAGCTTTTACTACTGATTATCTCTGCATCTTATCATAACTTTGTTTTTACCCCTTCTGATTTAGCCAAGAGCTGTGACATTTACTGTAGCATGTATTGGCAAATAAACTGAATCTGAAATACAGACGAACAAATAATAGTATGTAAAAGACAATATACTGTATAATTTAGTACTTATACTATATATAAAATGGTACTTGTCTATATAGGCTATATACATACCTCTTAACAAAATTAACAATAACCACAAAAAACAATAGAACAACTATTGTATGTGTTGCACATGGCTGAATATGCATAATACATAATATTCATAAAACTTGTAAAGTATCATTGCAGTTGCATACATCTGCTTAATGTAAACAATGCATTTTATTATATGCATTTTTGCATGCGATAATGTGAAGCTATTTTCTCAAAATTATATAAAATGTATCTGTTTAAAGTGCATTTTGTTGTGTTTCACAACGCCTTGTTGTATGTTCAGTTCCTATTTATTTCAGCCTTGCTATTTCACATTATATCCCAGCCAGCACCACTGCCCTCCCCTCTGCTGTGTCATGTAATCATGTAACAGGGTTGGCAAGAGATCCAACTTACATAAAAGGGACTTGTCTCCTCCCATCTGCGTGCACAGTTTTTATTGCTCTTTACAAGTTGTCATAAACTCTTCTTCATCCTCTGTTCTGATCAAGGGTGCAGCCTCACATCTCTCTACATGATGTCCTGCATAAAGCCTCAAACGATTGGTAAGAATCTGGGAGCTCTTCTGCACTAATGCACATCTGCAAGTTTCACTTTCTGTTGGATGTTACGGCACAGATTTCATATGTGTTTGTGTGAAGCAATGCAGTGTATGAAAGCACATGTCTGTGTTTAAAAGCAGCTGCTGTATTCATATGAGAGAGGGTGAGATATACTTTGAGTCCAATGGCTTTTGAATGTTATCATAGGTTTAAATTTAGCAGCTTACTTATAACTGAATTTAACTCCTTTTGAATTGTATGTCACAAGTTTGACTTTTCTGAAAGATACCTGTATGTCTATGTAGTTACTTCATTATTTATGCATTAGTGTATCACAGTACATGTGAACGTGTAGAGAGGAGAGGGATTGTTTTTCTAAAGATAGTGCTTCTCTTTGTAACATCACTGACTCTCTGCCATTTCAGCTCTGTCATTGTTAACTCTAATCCTTTACTTTGTTCTTTCAGCTGACATAAATGATGGAGCAGAGTAGTATGTCTGCAAATCTGTGATTTACTACAGCTATATAATTTAATATAACTCAGGTTTAGCTAACCTTGCAGTTTAGGACCTCTATATAAAAGTGTCAGCAACACTTTAGAATAAGGTCCCATTTGATAACATTAGTAAATGGATTAGCTAACCTGAAATGACAATCAGAAATATATTTTTAAAGTGTTTATTAATCTTTATTCATGCTAGTAAAAAATATCGGTTCAAACTTGATTATACATTGTCTTGATATACATGTTATATACACGTACTTACTATAGTAATAACAGTAAAAAGATGCATAATTACATGCAACTAAACCCTAAAACAAACCATAATTCTAACCATAACCCTAAGTACATGTTGTGCCTAGAACTTGTTCATTATTTCTTAGTTCACAGTGCATTAACTAATGTTAACAATGACTTTTAATTTGAAAATGTATTAGTAAATGTTGAAAATTACCTATACATGCTGTAGAAGTCTTGTTTATCGTTAGTTCATGTTAACTAATGTAGTTAACTGATGTTAACAAATGAAACCTTATTGTAAAACATTACCAAAGTGACAATACTCAAAACGACATTTTATTACCATTATCATAATTTCAGAACATTTGTATTAACAAGTGCATCTTTATAACATTATTCTGATTATTCTTCTGATGAACAGATTTTGATCTGTCAACTTGCCAAGCAATCAGATTTGGTACATCACGCAAATCACAATTTGCTGTCTGGATTTTTACAGCTGCTGCTCGGAAAACATACTTCACAAAAGTACATGGGCTGCCAAACATCTCCCCCTTGGTAAGTTCGGTAGAGGAGACACCTGAGCCCATCCCCACCACAGTCAAAGGCACCATCCCAACCTGGATCCATGGGAGTCTGCTGCGGAATGGTCCAGGAAAGTTTAAGTTTGGGAATCAGCAGTGAGTGCAAACATTCAACTGTCAATATTGTGATTTTGTGATCTTAATAGAATCACTAGAATGTGAAGAATAGTAACTAAATACATTTTATAATCTCTGTTTCTGTCAGGATCCTGCCCTGACAGTCTTGTCTGTCCTGTCCATGGCAACGGAAGCCAGTTTTGAGCAGCATGTTTTTCCTGTCACGGTCATAAAGTCCAGTTTTGAGCAGCCCGCCCTTCCGATCACAGTCACTCATGTCAGGCCTGAGCAGTCCACTCCTGTCACGGCCATGGAGACCACTCCTAAGCAGCCCACTATCCCTGTCATATCTATGGAGGCCGTTCTCAAGCCGTCAGTCCCCACTTACACGGAGTATGCTTCAGCCCTGGAGCCTCCAGTGTCCGCTCGAGCTCCTGACCAGAGGCTAGTGTTGGTCTCCGGTTTAGAGTCTGCCTCATCTCAGTTCAGTCCAAAGTCTGTTCCAGAGCCTGTTTCAGAGTCCGCTCCATTTAGTTCCTGATCCTTTATTTTTTTCCCTTTTTTTTTAAATTTTCTTTCTAGTTTTCAGCAAGTTGTCTTTGAGTGTGTCTGTCGAGTTGGTTCCTGCCCTGCTTCCTGAGTCCTCCCTGGTCGCTGATTCTTCTGACCTGGCAGACATTTTGGTGCTTCAAGAGTTACCATCCCCAGGGCCAAGCCTGTGGTTCCTTGAGCTGCTACCTAGTCCCCTTTTGCCACAGAGTCTGGAGCTACCCCCATCCCCGACCAGCCCGTTCTCCTGTCGTGTGCCCTGCCTTATTGTGTGGACTGTCTTCCTGCCTCATCCTTTTGTGCTCTAACTTTGTTAATAAACTGTTTCCCCTGTCCATTCTGCATTTGGGTCCTCCCTTGACAAACCGTGACAGTTTCTTGCGATTAGTAATTGGCTGTAAAACTAATGACATATAGAAAGGTACAATTAATCATTTGATATTTACAGTGGTAGAGGTAGTAGACAAAGTAGGCACAACCATGACAACCTTTCACAGAAGACTATTATTCACAATACTGTATGTCATTCAAACTCTAACATGAATATTCAGGCTGACTCATGCCGATGTTAATGTTTCCTCAGCTATAACCACTGGTTTGATGGCATGGCCTTGATGCATCGCTTTCAGATTGAGGATGGTCAGGTGACGTACAGAAGCCGTTTTTTGCGCAGCGATTCGTATAAGCAGAACAGCGAGAGGAACCGCATCATAGTGTCAGAGTTTGGCACTTTGGCTC